AAGCTTATTCTTGTCCCCCAAATTTCACTCTATAAAATGGTACCTGTTCCGGTACTGTTATTTTGTTTGCAGATCCTTTTTGTGCTCAGGCTTGCCACACTGTACTTAACACTTTGACGACAGCGCGGGACACATACGTCCCGCACTCTCACACGGAAGAGACTTGTTTTTCCTAAATTGTGCCTCCATTTTCATGCTTCAAGACTGGCCCTTCCTACTGTTGGATACGAAAAATAGTTCTCTCGTTACCACTAATGAAATTATTGGTAATGTAGTAACTGTTAATGCAAATTTGTAAAATAAGGTGGGTAGGTTCGCGCACAAGGGCGTGTCGTCAACGTGTTAAAGAATTATAACTTCATCTTCCTCTAGATTGTTTCCTACCGGATATGATTATCGTGTGATATATTAAAGAACTTTAACAGAAACTTTTGTAGGTTGAACGCTGCAGAAACATGGATTGACACTAGCTCATCGGTTTCCTCGAAAGGGTTTTTCCGTAGCGTTTTGGATAAGGTGACGTTTTGGGTATTTCGTAGAGAAATTTTGCGAAGATATAGTGTTCTGTCTTTGAACACTATTCAATTCTTCAATTCTATCCTTGCAGGTGATGCCGGGAGAAGAGGTGCCACATTTTGATGCCCATTTTATGTCTGAAACTGGTCTGATAGATATCTTCTTCTTTGGAGGACCTTCACCGCAAGATGTTCAGAGACAACTATCGCGCATCAGCGGGGTGAGGATTTTTTCATAGGAAATATTCACTTTCTTTTAAAAAGCAGTGCAATTCAGTGTCTATTTCAATAGGATCTCACTAGATTGAAGTCGTTATGTTGCAGGTGACGCCTATACCTCCACTCTTCTCTATCGGCTACCATCAGTGTCGCTGGAATTACAACGATGAGCAGGACGTGGCTCAGGCAAGTCAAACTTTTAGAGACTTTTCCAATGGCTTGTTACATTTGGGAAATGTATCGCCATGGCACAAATACTTGCTGATTGATCGACGTGTTTAAGGTGAACGAGAACTTCGATGTATACGACATCCCTATGGATGTGATGTGGTTGGATATTGAACACACTGATGGCAAGAAATACTTCACATGGGAACCTCACAAGTTCGCTCATCCAAAGGAAATGATCGATGGGTTAGCTGCTAAGGTGCGTAAGAGAGGAAAACCTTATGTTCTTGCTTGTATACTCAATTGAATGTGAATTCATAATGTTATTCGAATTTCAGGGTCGTAAAATGGTGTTTCGTTCAAAATTGACGTGACCATCATCGTCCAATATTAAGAAAGATGATAATTATCCCATTTACAAAGACGCTAAAGACCTGGGATTTGTATGTAAAGAAGGCTGATGGTGAAAGTGACTTCGAAGGTCATTGCTGGCCAGGTGCGAGCGCTTACCTGGATTTCCTCAACCCTGAGGTAGTTTTTCAAGTTATCACGAGATGTTGGAGAGTTTTTGTTTTGGTTTGTTCGCAATTTTCATGCATTTCTAGACACGAAAATACTGGGCTGCTCAATTTGCGTTCGATCGGTATGTTGGATCTACTCCTCAGCTCTTCACTTGGAACGATATGAACGAGCCGTCGGTCAGTTTTTCTTACTCTGTTGCACGCTGTATTGTATTCGCTGGATCTTCTTACTTCTGTTGGGCTGTAAGCACAAATATAAATAATATTTGATATGTAGCCATGTTTGGTTCAGGTCTTCAGCGGAGCCGAAGTAACTTATGAGCAAGGACGCATGGTGGGCATAGGTGAGAGGTGAGGTTAAAGACTATCATTTCTTATGGTAAAGTCTCGTATATTAGGATTATACCATTAAAAAGGTTGCCCGGAGACGAAAGGTACTGTTTCGGGGGAGAAAAACTTATTGGAATATTCTCTTCGTTGATTTCAGCTTATTCCATTGATTTTATTGATCGGTCCTTTTAGCTGCACAACATGTACGGTTTTCTGCAACACTCGTCGACTTTTGAAGGTCAACTCCAGCGCACCGGTGGGAAGGACCGTCCTTTCATACTTACTCGGTATTTTCTTTTATCTAGCAGTTTATCGTTTCTTTTATTTGCCCTATTCTATAGGAAGACGGTTTTTTGAAGAGGTTGTATTTTGATAGTTTTTTTTATCATTTTTTTTTTATCAGAAAACACTGATCTGAATAGTTGCGATGCAGTCAGCCTAGGCTAATCGTAATTTGAAGACGTTATATTTTCGTCTTACAGATCTGGATTTATTGGAACCCAACGAACTGCAGCGATCTGGACCGGAGACAATACCGCTGAGTGGGGGCATTTAGCGATCGCAGCACCTATGCTACTCTCGTTGTCAGTTTCTGGTGTGCCATTCGTTGGTGAGTGTTGCATTCGTTTGCGAACTTCGTTCTGCCTTTCTTAGACTTTACCTATATCTATTTTTTTAGTCGGGCTGATTCAGTTCTATGGAATATAAAGTCATAGAATCTTCTTCATTCGTTCTCATCCTTACAGGGGCTGATGTGGGTGGATTTTTCGGAAATCCCGATGAGCAGCTACTCACCCGTTGGTACGAAGCCGGCGCGTTCCAGCCTTTCTTCAGGTAATTTCTTTCTTAATCCTCATGAGGTGTTTGTTTATTTGTGTTCACGGTAGAATAGAAATTTAGAGCTCATGCTCACATTGATACGAAAAGGCGTGAGCCTTGGTTGTTCTCAAAGCCAACGCTGGACGCAATCCGTCAAGCTATAAGGCGGCGATACGCCTTGCTTCCGTACTGGTGAGATTTTGTTATTTTTCTTCCAAGGAAACCACTCTTGTTTTTTTTTCCAATTTTCTCATGTCTTCTATCTTACATAAGAAGCTTTGTGAGAAAGCCGGTCCCCTGATATACTTGATTTTTTAACTTCCTGTGATTGTAACTACTTTTGGACTTGCCTGTAACTCGCTAATCAAATGTTATAACAAGGTCGGCTAGTTGTGCGCACAGTTATCCAATTTTTGGTGCGAATTACTAATCCAATTGATTACTTCTGAAGTCAGTTAGAATTAACTCATCTACGTTTGAGTATAACTACCGAAAAGTTATAGAATTTAG